GGGGGGGGTGCGGAAGGGGGTTTGGGCAGGGGGCCGTTCTTGCCGCCGTCACCAGCCTGGGGCTGGCGGACCGCCCCATTTGCCTGGCCCGCCCGGCCCGCTCTGCTGCCCCGCAACCGCTGCAGGTTGGGAGCTGGGAGGGGGGGAGTCAGGCTGGGGGACGGTCGCGCCGCCTTTGCCCGCCGGGGGTCTGCGGGCCGCCCCACCCGCCTTGCCCGCGCGGCCCGCCCCGCCGCCCCACAATCACCGCAGGTTGGGGGCGGGAGGGGGCGGGTGGATAGGCTGGGGGTCTGCCTGGCCACCTCCACCCGCCTGGACCAGGGCGGGCCACAAGGGGCAGCCCCTCGGGGCGGAGGCGGACGCCCCGAGGGGAGCCGTCACTATCCACAGGCTCGAACCACAGGCTCCCCCCCTCCTCCTTCTCCTCCTCCTCCTCCTCCTCCTCCTCCTCCTCCTCCTCCTCCTCCTCCTCCTCCCCCTCCTCCTCCTCTTCCTTCTCCTCCTCCTCCTCCTCCTCCTCCTCCTCCCTCCTCCTCCTCCTCCTTCCTTCTCCTCCTCCTCCTCCTCCTCCTCCTCCTCCTCCTCCTCCTCCTCCTCCTCTTCCTCCTCCTCCTCCTCCTCCTCCTCCTCCCGCCCTCCCTCCCTCCTTCCCTCCCTCCCTCCTCGTCCGTCTTCTCCTTCCTTCTGGTTCGAGGTTTTCGGGTACTGCCTTCGCTTGTCGGTGGTTTTCCAGCCTCGGGATGCTTTCCAGCAGCCTGGAGCGTTTCGGGGGTGCTGGAATCGTCCCGAACGGCCGCTGGAGACCCACGCTACGACCCTTAAGCCAGACGACGAAGATCAGGGTCGGTCGCTGGCTCATACTAATCATACCCCTCATCTTCCTCCTTCCCCTCCTCCCCCCCTCCCTCCCTCCCTCCCTCGTCCTTGGCGAGGCTTCGGGCTGCGCACAGACAGCGCCCCCAGGCAGTCCAGGCTGGCCTCAACAGGCCTCCCGAGTAGTCCCGGGTGGTCTCCAAGCCTTCGTGCCGCCTCCGGCGGCGCCCTTGGGGCGCTCCGCGCCACAAAGTTGTATTCGGGGGGCCTGCTGAGGCCAACCTGGAATACCTAGGGGGGTTGTCTGCGCGCAGCCCGAAGCATTACCATTCGTCCTCCTCCTCATCATCATTATTATCCTCCTCCTCCTCTTCCTCCTCCTCCTCCTCCTCTTCCTCCTCCTCCTCCGCCTCCTCCTCCTCCTCTGCCTCCTCCTCCTCGGAAGCGTTTGCCTGCGTTTGATGTGTTCGTTGTTCGAGGGTCGGGACCCCTTCCGGCGGCTGGAGTTCGACGACAGTTCCAAGTTGGTGGCACGAGTGGTTTCGTTGGTTTCTGTGGGCCACGTTCTGCACCACTGGGCGTCGCTGAATACACGAAGGATGTTTCGTCCAGTTCGTGGATATGCTTCCCAACGATGGGGTCGATGACTTTGGTCGCGATGTTTGTCGCGACGGCGAACTCCCCATCCTCGCCCTCATCTTCCTCGACCATGTTATGACAATCGGGCCAGACGATAGCAGAATTTGTTGCGTGGTACCGTGCTGACAGTTCGTCCCCGGCGGTACCTTGCTGGGCCAAAACTGACGTTGTCCTGCTCCACCACACGCAACAGGGTCCGAAGCAGTGCTCCAGAGTGTGCGAGCGCAGGCCGACATGTCGGACCATCTCCGACGGTCGGAAGCAATGGCTTGGCGTGTCGCGCCGCCGCCTCTGGCCCACCGCGCTTCGGCACGACACTCAGGCGGCGAGCTAGGGGGGGGAAGTGAGGAGGGGCGGGCCTTCGAAGAAGGCTCGGAAGTCCCCCTGCCTTCTGAGAAGTGTTCTAAGGCTTCCCCGAAGACACGGGAAGCTTCTCAGAAGTTTCGAGGGCTTCTGAGGAGTCCAGCCGCCTTGTGGGAAGGCGCTCTCCTTCTCACTCCCCACCCTCGCTCGCCGCCGAGACACGCTGACCACGTCCCAGCTCCCGAGCGTCAACGTCCCCGGCGCTTCCCAGCGGCGCAGCGGAGCGGCACGCAGCGCACAGCGTGCCTCCAGGGCCGCTGCCGCCGCGGCACGCGGAGCAAAAGAGCCAGGCCGTGGCATCCTGTCGTGAAGGCCTCACGGCCGGTGCCGCCGACCCAGAAGGATGACGACGACGACGACCACCACGACGACGACGACGACAACGACGAGCCGATGACCCTGCCACAGGCTCGGGACATGGGGCGGGCGGCGGAGGGAGGAGGAGGCGGAGGAGGAGGCGGAGGAGGAGGCGCAGGAGGAGGCGCAGGAGGAGGACGGGGATGGGGAGGGGGAGGGGGAGGAGAAGGGGGAGGGGGAGGGGGGGGGGAGGAAGGAGGAGGAGCAGGAGGGAGCAGGGAGGAGGGAGGAGGGAGGAGAGGAGGAGGAGGAGGAGGAGGAGGAGGAGGAGGAGGAGGAGGAGGAGGAGGAGGAGGAGGAGGAGGAGGAGGAGGAGTTGGAGGAGGAGGGCGAAGAGAAGGACGGGGGAGAAGAAGAAGCTGTAGAAGGAGGAGCAGTGCAAACCCAAGACTCATAAACGATGCTGAAATACACCCTCCCTCGAAGATTCCTCTTCATAGACCCCCGCACGGAGTCAGTTTTCCACCGAGGGAACTGCCCCGTTGGGGGATAACCTTGTGAACATCTTGAAGCGTGCCAAAACACCATTCTCAGAATTTCAACACTACGACTTAACCTGACTGTTACATCTTGGCGATCCTGAATCGTGCTAGAATGCCGCTCCTTGGACTTGATCACCGCGAATCAACGTAATTGTTGCGCCCTGACATTCCTGAGTCGCTCCAAAACATAGTTTCTGGCTCGGCAACTATGAGGACCAGTGAAACTCTTGCAGATGTTCAGAAGGAATGCGCGCGGCGCTAAGGCGAGAGCCACATTTTGACAACGAACCGCCCTTAATCCGTGAAATTCGTGCATAGTTTGAAAACAGATGCGCGCGGCGCTGAGGCGAGATCCACATTTTGAAAACCACCCGCCCTCAATCCGTTAAGCTCTCGCACATGTTTTGAACAAATACGCGTGGCGCTAAGGCGAGAGCCACATTTTGAAACGAACCGCCCTCAATCCGTGGAACTCTTGCAATCTTTTCGATCGAATGCGCGCGGCGCTGAGGCGAGAGCCACATTTTGAAAACGGCACGCCCTCAATCCGTGAAATTCTCGTATTTTGTTTACAATCAACAAAAAAAAAACGAATGCGCACGGCACTGAGGCGAGAGCCACATTTTGAAAGCGGCCCGCCCTCCATCTGTGAAGCTGCTGTCAAACTTTAAGCGTCATAAATGATAAGGAAGTCTCAGGCGAAACACCCGGCCCGCCCCTTCGACCGGCCTCGGGATGCGACAGGGAGGAGTTATCTATAAGGAAAAGGCATGGAGGAGAAAGAGGAGGAGGAGGAGAAAGGAGGAGGAGGAGCGCCGTCTGTCTCCTTGGTGGCGGTCCGGGGCTGGGGCCGGGGCCAGGGGCGGTGCCGGAGCCGAGGACCGTGCCCACGCCAGGAGGCCGGGGCCAGGGCCGGGCCCAGGGCCGGGGCCTGGGGCAGGGGCCAGGGCCGGGGCCGGGGCCGGGGCCAGGGCCAGGACCGAGGGCGGGGCAAGTGACTTCCAGAGCCGGGGCCGGGGCCGAGGCGGGGGAAGAGCTCCTGAGCTCCACTGCCCACAGGGAGGGTCACGACGCCAGGACACCCCCCTTGGGACACCCCCTTGGGGCCCCCCGGGACCCTCCCCGACCGTGGCATCATGTTTTCGGCGGCGAACGAGGGGGGGAAGCGAGAAGGAGAAGACCTTCTCAGAAGGCGGCGCGGGAGGTTTTCTGCGTCTTCGGGGAAGGCTTAGACAATTTCTCGGAAGGCCAGAGGACTTCCGAGCCTTCTGAGAAGGCCCGCCCCTTCTCACTCCCCCCCCGGGCTCGCCGCCGATATTCGGGACGTTGTAGTCGGCGGTCTGGGGGGAGCACGCCAAGCTCGGCCCAGGCGCCAGGCGCCCGCGTGCCCCTTGCAGCAGCCTCCCCGCGCGCCGCCCGCGTCACACCACCCGCTCCCGCGCGCACGCACGAGAAGCGAGAAGACGGCGCAGCGGGGGACGATCGGCGGCGAGCGAGGGGGACAAGTGAGAAGGAGAAGGCCCTTTCAGCAGGCGGCGGGGGTTCTCAGAAGGCCTCCGGTCTTCTGAGAGGTTTTCTGTGTCTTCGGGGAAGGCTTTGAAACTTCTCAGAAGGGCGGGGGACTTCCGAGTCTTCTGAGAGGGTCCGCCCCTCTCACTCCCCCTCCCGGGCTCGCCGTCAAGATTCGGGGAAGCGCAAGCATGGCTTTAGGCGCGTGGATTAGCGGCAGGCCCCGCTCCTGTATAGAATCGGCGCACTCAGTCGCCGAATCGGGCGGCATTGGCCTCCTGCCTTGGTGGTGCCCTCCCCGATCCGTGTATTCTGTCGCACGCGCGCCGGATCTGAAGATCCGTGGTCCAAGTTAGCGCGCAGCGCGCGCCCGAAAGAGGGCCCAACGGGGGGGGGCTCCTGGGGCAGCCAGCCAAAGGGTCAACACTGCGTGGAGGCGGGGGCTTCGACGAGCGATCGGGAAGGTTCTGGCCCGAGGTCTCCCTTTCTCGTTTCCTTTCCCATCCTTCTGCCGCCGTCCTGCCATTCCTCCTCCGCCTCTGGGGGCGAGCTTGCCTTCGCCAGTTTCACCGTTCCCAGCGGCTTGCGCGACTCTGAATGGAGTACGGCTCGCTGCGCCGCTGGTACTGAGTGTTCAAGTCTCCCCTCCACTCCTCCGCATCCTCCACACACACACACTTTTGGCGTCACGGCCATGCGAGCAACAGTGCGGTGGAGTCGGGTTAGCGGGAGCGGCTAGAGGATGGTGCGGCGGCCGCAACATAAACACCCACACACGCACGTGCGCCATAAGCCTTGGCTGCACATGTATTACGTATCTTGTCGTGGGCCATCCAGGAACAAGCAGCGGAAAGGCAAGGAGTCCGCCGAAGAGCTGCCTGAGGCCTCAGGTGCGACGGACGTCACGCGGTACTCGCGGTGGACGCGCGTAAAGGTGTTGGCGCAGATCTTCTGGGACGAGACGTATTTTCTATTGTCCCACCTGGTGGCCCAGCACATGCTCGAGTTCGTGCTGCGCAACTGCAGCGGACCCGACGCGCTCTCGTGGCTGTGGCCGTTCAGACACCACCGGTCACGATTCTTCCGGCGCTCGTGCCAGCTGTGGTCCACGGCGCCCGCGCACAACGTGCGGCTCCTGGCCTTTCTGTTCATCAGGACCTCAGCATCGTCTGATCGATGCCCATCCCCATTGGGCCATAGTGTACCTCCGCCCCACCAGGTCTCCCGCCCAGATAGGGGACGGGCCCTACGGGAGGGGCCCCGCGAGCCCTGAAGGAGCAGGCATATGTGTATATACATATAAATATATATATGACATAAACATATGAACATGTACAATAAATATATACAAATATACACATATTCCTTGTTTATATATATACACAATCCGGGCGGAACGCGAAAGGGGTCACCCCCCCCAAAGACCAGACTCCCGGGATCTGGGGCTTTGGGACCCTCTGGACGGGCCTCGAAGCGGCCCCCCGGGCCTCGCAGGGCGTTTTGCCAAGCCTTCCCAGCACACCTAAGGCGATCAGGGGGGTCATCGGAGACGTCCCAGAGACCCCCAAGACAGCACAAGAGCGCTCCAAGAGTGACCGACGTGACCTCCAGATGGCAAAGAGGCCTCCAAGAGCACTTCCAAGAAGGCCCCAAGAGGCAAAAATCATTGATTTTCTGATGGTTTTTGGTGAATTTGGGGGTTCTCCTCTTTTCTGCTTCCCGACGCTCCAAGACGGCAGTCTTCTGGGCGTCCGAAGCCGCCTGGGAGGCTCCAAAATCGCCCCACAACCATCCGAAAGGGCTTCCGGGCAGTCCAAGAGAGCCCCAAAACGCAACACGGGTCCAAGATGGCCCTCAGAGAGCCCCATGGCGGCCCAAGATGGCCCCAAGACACCTTCCGAAGCATTCCAAATCGTGACCCGGTCGTTCAGGGAGACCGCGGTTGGAGGCAGGGTGGCCCGAGGAAGCCCCCAGAGGCCCCCAGAATACGCCCAAGAGGCCTCCAGAAGGCCTTGAGAAAGCCTGAAACAATTTTTGTGAGGCCCCCAGAGGCTCTCCAAGGAGGAGCCTCCGCAAAAAAGAGCTGCGGAGGATGGGGAGAATGCGCAGGGTATGGCGAAAATGAAGAAAAAGAAGCATGGAGGAAGGATAACGAATAACATTATTACAGCGGCGATGCCGGAAAAGGCAACAAGGAGTTATCGCTAAATTGTCGGCTTGACTTTCCTGCTATTCCGCCTGCACACCAAACTTCAAGGACCAAGGTGCATGGCGCGAAGCGCCAATGCAGTATATAAATAAAAGTACTAGTGTGAAGCCGTGGATTAAATCCACGGAGCTGCGTGAGTCGAAGTTTGCCGACGCGCGCATCTGTCTCTGGCGCGCACATGTCAGCAAGCGGCGGTGTGCGATCGACAACCAACGTGGAATCTATGATTTCGCCTCTTCAAGCCCTCTTGGGGGTCCTCCTGGGGCTCTTGTGGGGCGCGTGAAGTCTGCTGGGGCCGTCTTGACAGCATCTAGGGCCGTCTTGGGGTCCCCGTGGGCAGGCTCGGGGCCCTCTTGGCCTGTCTTGGGAGCTTGTTGGGCCGTCTTAGGGGCCTCATGGGGGTCTATTGGGCCGTCTTGGGGCCTCTTGGGCTCCCCTTGGGCACCTCCGGGGCTGTCTTAGGACTTTCTTGGGCTCCTCTTGGGCCGTGTCGGGGCGATCCTGGAGGCCTCTTGGGCCATCTTGGGGGTCCAGACGGTTGAGAGCGCGAGAATCTCAGAATCCGTAGGAAACCCACGGAAAATCTACGATTTCGGCCTCTTGGGGCCCTCCAGGGTGTCCCCTCGGAGCCGTCCTGGGGTGTCTTGGTGGCCTGTGGGGCCGTCTTGGGAGCATCTTAGGCCGTCTGAGGGCGGTCTCGGGCCATCTCGGGGCTGTCTCTGGTCGCCTCGGGACCTCCTTGGGCCGTATCGGGGCTCTTCTGGGGAGCTCCAGTGCCGTTTCGGGGCCCTCCGGGCGCCCTCTGGTGCCGTTTCGGGCTCTCCGGGGGGCTCGGGGAGCCAGGGGGGGGCCCACGCCAACCCGCAAAGCTCATTACGGATTTATTTGAGTGGATGTGTGTATGGGCCTTGGCCACGCCAGTGAGGATAGGGATCGGTGGAAGAGTGCTCAGGAACGCCTCCGCTATGGCGCTCACCGCACCCGCGCCCAAAGGGCATGAGCGGGAGGCGGCGCAGCTGGAAGCCATCGTCCGGCACGTGCTGAAGTCGTTTGCGGAGGCCTCGTCGAGGGGCTATTCCTGGCGGGCGCTCAGTACGTTCCGCTTCATGGAGAATTGCCTCGTGGAGCTGCTGCGGCTGGACGGGCCCGTGGCCTACCGCGTCGGCTACGCCTACATCCGGCAGCTGGCGCTGATCCTCAGGAACGCGTGCCTCGGCGACTCTGGCGTGGGCGGCGGCAAGGAGAAGGGCAAGCCCAAGACCAAGGAGGAGAAGAGGGGGACCTTCGGCGAGCGAAAAAAACAGAAAACGGCCGCCGCCGAGGCTGGGGTTGGAGGGAGGAGGAGCAGCAGCAACAGCAGTAGGCGCAGCAGGAGGAGGGAGGAGCAGGGGCAGGAGCAGGGGCAGGAGCAAAAGCAGAGCGAGGAGGAGGACGACGAGGAGGAGGAGGAGGAGGAGGAGGGCCAAACTGTAGTGGGGGAGGAGGGGGAGAGGAGAAGAAGTGGGGAAGGAGGAGGAGTGGAGGAGGAGGAGTTGCAGAGGAGTGGGGGAGGAAGAGGAGGAGGAGGAGGAGGAGAAGGAGGAAGAGGAGAGGGAGAGGGAGGAGGAGGCGGAGGAGGAGACCCTTTTACATACGCAGTTACCTAAACATCTCTTGCAAGCCTATATATACACTGGCGGTGACAGGCCAGCCCAGCCAGCCTATAGGCGTTCTTTCCTTTCTTATGACCCACAAGCACGCATCACCGCCAGCCTCGCTCTGACTTTGGGGATGGGGGGAGAGGAGATTATGTGGGTTGGGAGTCGGGAGATGTAGTACTTGTATGGTTTGGGCTAAACCAAAAAAAAAACTGTGCAGCAACCCAAGAACTGCTTCACTGCTCGGCCAACCTATTCTTGCTACGTCCTGCACCCAAGGCTTCTTACTTTGGGATCCCCTGACCTACAGGCGCGACCCCCGTTTTCACATACTCTGCTGCCTTAGAATCTCTTTGCAAGCCTGTATCTACACATATTGTGACAGGCCAGCCCACAGGGCCAGCCTACAGACGTTCTTCCTTTTTTTCCCCCCCCTACCCCACAAGCACGCATCACCGCCAGCCTCATTCTGACCTTGGGGATGGGGGGAGAGGAGATTATGAGGGTTGCGAGTAGGGAGATGTAGTACCTGTATGGTTTGAAGTAAACCAGAAGAAGGAGGAACAAAAAAAAAAACTGTGCGCAACCCAAGAACTGCTTCACTGTTCGGCCAACCTCTTCTTGCTGCGTCCTGTACCCAAGGCTTCTTACTTTGGGATCCCCTGACCTAAAGGCGCGACCCCTTTTTTCACATACTCAGATGCTTTAAAATCTCTAGCAAGCCTGTATCTACACAGGCTGTGACAGGCCAGCCCACAGGGCAAGCCTACAGGCGGTCTTCCTTTTTTCCCTTACCCCACAGGCACGCATCACCGCCAGCCTCACTCTGACCTTGGGGATGGGGGAGAGGAGATTATGTGGGTTGGGAGCCGGGAGATGTAGTACCTGTACGCTTTGGGTTAAACCAAAAAACTGTGCAGCAACCCAAGAACTGCTTCACTGCTCGGCCAACCTCTTCTTGCTGCGTCCTGCACCCAAGGCGTCTTACTTTGGGACCCCTCTGACCCACAGGCGCGACCCCCTTCTTCACATATTCAGCTGCCTCAAAAGCTTCTGCAAGCCTGTATCTACACAGGCTGTGACATGCCAGCCCACAGGGCCAGCCTACAGGCGTTCTTCCTTTTTTCCCCCTACCCCACAAGCACGCATCACTGCCAGGCTCGCTCTGGGGGATGGGGGGATGGGCGCTCTGTGATTATGGGGGCTTATCTTGCTTGGGAGGACGTTTCTACGGATTGGGGTCCACCTGAAACCTTGGGCGGCAACCCTGGAACTGCTTCTCATCACAGTTTCGCACCCAGCCACCTGCATTGCTTGCTTTCTATACCTTATCGAGGCGACATGTACCATTGATGATGGGGTAGTGTAGTAGCTTCCGACCAGCGCCGCCGATCCGGAGCGTTCCCGATGCTGATGGGAATGAATGACCGTGTATGCTGAAGATACAACCCTCGTTCGAGACATTCGTATAAGAGAACATGTGGAAATCGGTGGCGAAACCTCTGGGTCTTCGAAAATGACGCTCCCAGATGAGTCACCATTCAAACGATGAAATGCTGAAATAGCTGTTGCACGCCATCTTTGGGGGGCGCTCCTGGAGGGCCCCCAAGACGTTTGAATAAGCGAAACGATTGAAGATCCAACTGTTTTGCCACATGGCTGGCCAAACGTAAGCGTAGTGCGACCCCCCCCATCCCGTTCCTGCCCGTTCCTGAGCACTGAGTGGCGTTGGGAATGGCGCCCCCCCCCTTCCCCTTGCAGAGGAAACCCCTTTCCCGTTGCCGAGCACTGAATGGCATCGGGAATTGTATCCCCCCCATCGACCATTGATGATGATGTATCTTATTGGTTTAAGGGTGGAGGAGGAATTAGTCTACTAAGGTTTGTGTCGACCTCCACCTGGCGGGCGCCTACTCTCATTGCTTCTCTTTCCTTTGTTTTTTCTCCGCATTTTCCGCGGCGCCCGCCAGGTACAATGAATCGAGTCGGTTATACTTTTTCGCATTTGCAGAAACGCGACAGGCTAGTTCCTCACGGTGGTCGAACATAGAAGGAGAAGGAGGAGGAGGAGGAGGACCAGTATAAACCCAAGAGTCATGAACGATGTTCGAAGTAACCCTCCCTCCAAGCCCATAGGCCCCTACAACGGTTCATTTCCATTGAGGGAGCTGCCTCCTTGAAAGACAACCGTTTGAAGATCTTGAAGCATGCCAAAACATTGTTTTCGGGATTTCAACGCCACGGATCAACCTGACTGTTGCGTCTTGACGATCCGGAATCGTGCTAGAACGGCATGTCCTGAATTTCAGCACCGCGAAGCAATATAATTGCTGCAACCGCATACTCCTGAATCTTTCGAAAACACAATTTCTGGTACGTTGACCATCGGAATCCGCGAAACTCTCGCAAATGATTAAAACGAATGCGTGCGACGCTAAGGCGAGAGCCAAAGTTTGAAAAGGAACCGCCCTCAACCCGTGAAGCTCTTGCAATTTGTTAGAACGAATGCACGCGGCGCTCAGGCGAGAGCCACATGTTGAAAACCACCCGCTTTCGATCTGTGAAATTCTTGCAAATGTTTAAAACGAATGTGCGCGGCGCTCAAGCGAGAGCCACATTTTGAAAACGACCCGCCTTCAATCCGTGAAACTCTTGCAAATGTTTAAAA